TGTAAAAACCTCCTGGTGCAAACAAGCAATTCAGCTCCATTTGCATCCAGCCACATCAATATGCTGTTGTACTTGCAAGCAGAGGAACGGAGGCAGCCCCTGTGCCCCAGACACCCTGGGAGAGCCTCTTTGCCAGAAGGCAAAGGACCAGAGGCTCCTTGGCTCCACAGCACTGACCCCTCACTGAGCTCCACCAGCCCAGCCCATGTGGCACACTGTCAGGCAGAGTGGCTTTCTCCTCTCCAAATCAGTATTTGATAATTCATCCTAATAACTAGAGGTGAACTCAATCCATCATGAGAGTATTGCTCCTGCCGATCGTTAACTGGAAGCCCCATGAAAGAGCAGCAGCTTTGCTTTTAGGGTGCCAAACCAGCAGCTCCCCAGTGCTGCCATTTCAAACTTGGCAGGTTTTTGAAATTTATCACAGTCAAAGATCAAACCAAGCAGCTTGACAGCCAATATGACACTTCTCGTGAACTCCCTGGACAAGCTAAAAACCCGTTTACAAGAGAAACAAAATTTCAACCCTTTAATGAGGAAGTGAAGTGATGACAGCTGCTCAGTAATTTCCAATGTTTCTTAAAATCCTCTGGAGTGGTTTGTTCAATATTTAGTATTGCTTTATCTGCCTCCAGATCAGAACAGCACATACTTTGATAACTAAAAGAAAACCTCTGTTTATTTTCCCACTAGCTTGTCTGCTTCCAAAATTGCTGTTATTATGGAGCTGCTCAGTGATTCATGACAGATACACATACATCTTGCTGCTTAAAACACTCAGCCCAGGCAAGTTTTCCTATTACCAGCAGGGCAAAAAACAAATCTGGGAGACTACTATCCTAAAAATGCTCATGGAGCTGCTGCTGCTGCTGCCGGGGTTCTGTCAGGCCCCTCTGTTTCCACTGTCTCTGAGGGCTGGGTGCTCACAGAGACACTGCTCCTGGAGAGAAAACACTCCAGCCCACAGAGCTTTCTGCTAAGTGAGGTGTTAATTTTGCTTACCTTAAAATCATTAATATGCAAGAACTCATCAATGATAGATTTGCATTTTCTCTCTATTTCCTCTTCTGATAGCGAAGGCTTCTCTTGTGCTGGAGGTGGGGGAGCTTCTGGCTTAGCTGGTGGAAATACAACAAGAAAATTTATGTTTGGAAAAGGCAAATGATCATTTTGGAAATGACATTATGAAAACAGAAGTCACTGGAGTAGGTGTATTCCAGGTCTCAGCTTCAGGCACAAGGCACTTCTTGGATGCTGCTCTGAGCAACCTGGACTGGTGGAAGGTGTCCCTGCCCATGGCAGGGGTGGAACAAGATGAGCTTTAAGGTCCTTCCAAACCAAACCCCTCTGGGAGTCTGCGACTCTTTCCTGGCTGCATTTCCCGCACCTGAACTCCCAATCTCCTGACTCCTCACAGGGACACAGCCTGCAGGAGCACAGGTTGAGCACCTCCAAAGCCCTCAACCAACATTAAATAATCGAACTTGGAGCTGCTGCAGTGCACTGCTAAGTTCAAACATGCTGACTGCAATGGGCATCCCAGACCCCTGGTCCCCACGGAGTCCTCCCCAACGTCCTGAAGCTTAATGATGAGCGTGTGCTATGCCACGGCACTCAGGATGTATCCCACACTGCAGCAGTTTCCAGATGTTTCCCAGGATGGAGCTGAACACTGCACTTACTGTAAAGCTTCTGTCCACAGGGAATATCACCCTAAGTGCCCCTGATATTTTCTCACTACATCAGCTCAAGCTGGCAGGAGCTGCAGCACTGACACAGTGACAGATGAGCCACTCTGGTCGGTGCTACCCTTGGCTGCACCGAGACCTGCTCAGAAAGAGGGCTGGCAACAACACAGCTGCTGTGCACAGCCTGTCCCGGCCCCAAATCACTGCCCTGGCCCTGGTGAATATTTGGAAAGGGTTAACATGGTTTTACTGGGCACTGAAGAAGCATCTCTGCAGAACTGACACTGATTTGGGGGACACTGAGCCCAGAAACCAGCAGCACAGCAACAGACAAGGCAGTGGGGTGATGTTGTGCTGGTACCTGCAGCACTTCAGCTCCACTGGATCCTATGGAGGAGCTGGTGAGAGGGACGAGGCCCAGGCTGGCCTGACTCAGCTGTGTCACACACCTCTGGGAGGTGGATCACACCTACAGCAGCCCAACAGTGTGTCACCTCGGGCTGAGAGGCCACAGCCCTGCACAGAGACCTGTCACTGCCCTGAGAGACCTTCCCTTGTGCCTTTTCACACAT